ACTTTCTAATTCAGCACAACTATCCATTGTCTTGTAAATGTTTGTAAATAGCCTGACCATGAATTAGTGAAGATTTAAGAACCATTACAGTTTTAAGGCACTCCTCAAAAACCTCGTTTGGAAGATAAGTTTTTTGCCAAGTTTGTCTGCTGTAAGTTTATTAAAAACTTTAGTTACAGTAATTTCTAAAAACTTTTCGAAGTTTTTAAACTATACACTTCAAAATATTAAAAAAAACACTTCAAAAATTTTTTAAAAAACTTTTATAGTAAGTTATAGTAGTTTTAGACAAACTTTCAAAAAACTCACCTACCAAACGTGGGGCTTGTTTGGCAAATGAGTTTTTTGGGTATTTGTCTAAAATTTTACTGTAACTTACTGTAGAAATTTTTAAAAAAATTTTTGAAGTATGTTTTTTTTTAATATTTTGAAATTTATAGTTTAAAAACTTTGAAAATTTTTTTGACGTTACTATAACTAAAATTTTTAAAAAACTTGTAGTAGACAAATTTTTAAAAAACTTATAGTAGTTTTAGACAAACTTTCAAAAAACTCACCTACCAAACGTGGGGCTTGTTTGGCAAATGAGTTTTTTGGATATTTGTCTAAAATTTTACTGTAACTTACTGTAGAAATTTTTAAAAAAATTTTTGAAGTATTTTTTTTTTAATATTTTGAAATTTATAGTTTAAAAACTTTGAAAATTTTTTTGACGTTATTATAACTAAAATTTTTAAAAAACTTGTAGTAGACAAACTCGGTATAAAACTTATTTGTCAAACAAGGCCGTAGACATTTAAGAAAATCTAAAAGCAGAAATTTCATGGGACCTTACCTTAAATCAGAACAAATGCCACCTTCTAGTCTGCTACCCAGTACGTCCAGAGCCAAGTAGTGACTGTGCCACTGGTTACGCTCTTTTTGTCTTCTTCCTGGACGAGTGTGTGTGTAGGTGTCCTGTCCTGGCAAAAAGCAGCTGGTTTTTGAGTTTTTGGCTAGTTTACATTTTCAGTTTTCTCACAAAGATTAAAGTAGATTCATCTTGCTAAAATGTGACGCAGTCTGAGATGGGAGGAACTGAAATCCCTTCTTCAGTCTAAAGAAGAAAGTTAGTATTAGTCATCAGCCTCCACGAAACTTCAGAGCCCATGAACTAGACCAAGTTTGAAGGTAAAAATTCTGAGCTTCCATCCCCTGTTTTAACACGTTTAACTCCCACTTTTTTTTTTTTTTCTTTGGTTTGTTTTTATTTTTTTGGTTGATAGATGGGGTGAAGATGCTTTTCTGCTTTGATTTTGTACCTGCTATATCTCTTTCTCTTTGTGAAGATGGAATGGTTTTTTCATGTTCTTCTGAAAGTTCCTGTACCCTTTTCTTTTTCCATTTCATTTCAAGTCGGTTTGCAGATTTTTTTTTTTGCCCCCCCGGGGGGTTTGGGGGCGAGGAGGTGGAGAGGCTGTACTTTATCATTTTTGAGTATCATCACCATGTAGTCATGAATTTTTGATGATTCTTTTTGTGGGTTGGCCTGTTTTCTTGAATTTTCCATTCTTGCATTTTATGTTATATGACGTAGCTGTTACTCAGGTAGAAGATGAAAGCCTTAGCAAAAAAATTGTGGATGATGAATGGAGCAAATGTAATAGAAGAGAAAAAACATGAGGTTATAATTATGAAAAGGATCTAAAAGATGGAAAAAAGAGAAGGGACCAGAGCAATGTACGGCCTGGAGGGATGAGGATTTTGCATATCATTTTTGAAAATGCAGATGATAGTTTCCATGTATAGTTCACATCCTGATAATGGAAGTCATCTAGTAAAGGCAGACAAAAACTTTCAGAGTTGCGATTCTCTTGTACCATTCTTATTGATTAATCAATAGGACCAAAACAAGATACCATGGATTTGGATGCTAAATCACCTGGTTAAATGATCTTTGATTAATCCATCTCAACTAGTTTTCTTTCAGGTGCTAATTATAGCATGGTTTGTACAGACACGTGCACAAGGACATATATTTGTGCTAAAAACGGGTAAAATTTAATAGCTATTGTAAGGTGTATACTTCAACTGGAAGGTATTGCCCAATAATACCTCCTTTGATATGCACTTGTTTGTTATCAATTTCTTACAAAATGCATAAATTTACACGGTCTGAACTGAGATATACTTGGCCATTCATGTTTGTTAATAGACAGAAGGTTTGTGGGACTTGCCTACTCTAATTTCAGTCTTATTAGATGTTCCAGCTATATGGTTCTACATATATCTGACTACGAAGAAGTGGGATTATAAGTTAGATAATCTACAGCCTAGTAACTTGTTTGTGTTTCTGAGAATATGTCTACCCACCTGGAGACAAAAGTTTTGTTTCAAAATTTCAGGAGTACATAGTGTTTTGTCTTGCCAACATCTTTTATAATGAAAGTGTACTATCAGGCACTAAAAAGTTTTTCAAAGTGTGTTACTGAAAACTTGTACATACTCTTCCAATGGATTATGTGATCGTTTAGCTAATTTAATTGATTCATTCATGATAGCAGGATATGATGGAGCTTAGGTGCATGAATGATGATATCCTAATGCAAGTACTATCCAAATTATCAACTAAGGATGTGCATATGCTGAAGTGTGTTGCTAAGGAGTGGCACAATCTTATCTTGGACCGCTCTTTCATATGCCTTCAATTAAAGAAGACAGAAGCAGTGTCAGGTTTTTTCTTTCAGGCAAGGTTCCAGTGGTGTGATGAGGACATTAACAATATCAGCTACATTCCTCTTGAAACCAGGAAAACTCAAGTTCACAGCACTGTCCTTAACTTCCTCCCTGAGGAGGTTGGAATTCTGGCTTCATGCAATGGATTGTTATGCTGTCGGAGTAGCTACCCTCGTTACCCACCGCTAATTTATGTTTGCAATCCATTAAACAAGCAGTGGATGAGTGTCAATTCGGTTCATTATTCCACGAGTGCAAGTGCAGCCTTGGTTTTTGATCCTTTCAAGTTACATAAAGATGACGCTTCACCAAATTTCAAAATTGTTACTGTCTCTGAAACTGAATCAGAAGATGAACAATCTAAGTTTGCATTCCAAATATATTCATCAGAAACTGGAAAGTGGAGGCAATCAAGGGAGATGTGTCACTGCAATCAGAAATTGTTCAAAATGAACGGCATCTTTGCAGATGGTTCGTTGTATTGGCTTATGGATGGCGATAAAATCCTCATGTTCAACCCTGAAACTGAGCTATCTTGGTTGCTTAACGTACCTCTTCCCATCACAGAATTCCGTAGCATTCCTGAGATATGTATTGGGGAATCGAAAGGAAAGCTGCACTGTGTGTTGTTGTCTGAATACGGACTTCAGTTATGGGCACTTGAGGATTTCTTTACATCTCAGTGGAATCTGACATGCTCAGTTTCTCTGGATAAGTTGGAAGAAGAGAACTCTCAGTTCCTTTACCAGATAGCTGAGAAACTGGCAACTCGTGACACCTTTTGCTGGATAAAAGTTTTTGCTTTCAAAGATGGGATATTGTTCTTAAGTGTGTCAAGTCATTTCTATTCATATGACTTTGCTACCAGGAAGATGAAAAAGCTCTGCGCCATTTCTGATTTGGGACCAAACTCCAGAGAGTTTCCAATGGTTGTTCCATACACAATGAGCCTGGTTCCTCTTGGTCCTGTGTAGGATAGACAAGTCCCCCTCTCATCCTTCTTGCCATCAAGTTGTAGAACTAGTAGTATGGTTGAGGTGTTAGCAGATGGGTTCGTTCTGAACAATTCTTGCATTGCATGCATGTGATTCTGGGAGGAGAAAGGACCTCTATACTATATCCACTTCACTTTGTTATTTGTTAGCTTCATTGGCTTTAGCATGCTGAGCTGAACAACTCCTAAAACTTTTTGAACTTGTTTATATCTGTTTGTGCAAGGAGGTTAAGTTTTATTTGCCCCATTGATTTGGCATTGTGGAGTGGAGTCTTTAGAGTTTAAATCTTTTGTCTCTGCAGTGGGGATATAAATTTATGGGGCAAATTATACTTTACCCCCTGTGATTTAGTATTTTTTTACATAACCCCCTATGGTTTCAAATGTTATACATAATCTCCTCATGGTCTGGATTAAAGTGTCAAAATGACGGAAATGATCATTCGTAATACAGTCACCTAAAATGTCAAAAATACTCTTATGTAAAATTGAAAATTATTTATTAACCAAGTAAGGTTATGTGTATATTTTGAAAATCATAAGGGGATTATATGGTAAAATATTAAATGATAAGGAAATTATATGATAAAACATAAAATCACGCAGGATTAGTGTGTTATATATTTATATGAGTAATTTCGGTATTTTCAAAATTTCCGTTGCAAATGACCATTTCCGTCACTTTAACACTTTAATCCAAACAATGAGGGGATTATGTATAGCTTTTGAAACAATAAGAGGAGTTATGTAGAAAAATACTGAACTACAGGAAGGTAAAGTGTAATTTGCCCTGAATTTATTCAAGCATTAGAAAGTGTCAAATTCAATTGCAATCATGTCCAAAGAACCTTAGTCTGAATTCTTGTTTTGTCCAGAGTGTGAAGGATGAATTAATGAGCAGGTAATACTTCCAAAACTTGCACCAAAAAGCTACTCAAGTTTTATGATTCTCCTTTTGCAATGAATTATGTTGCATATCCTTTGTACTTCAAACTAAATTTTGTTGACAGACGTGCATGAACATTTTTCAGGCCACCTCTCATGACTAATTAAATTGAAAATTATCTATTTGCCAATTCATTAAAAGATTTTGAAACAATTAGGATTATATTTCTTAGTGGAATTCACATATTAATAAGATACTTTTGCCTAGTATTGCATTATTCAATATCTCTCTACCTAAGTTATACAAACTTAAGTTCGCTTAACTTCACAAGCTTGAGGTTAAGAAAAATGTTAATTAGAATGACAACAATTTTGGAGCCTAAGCAGGAGGAGTTGTACACTTAGCACAGAAAGTTGTACATGTTTTTTGAAGGGAAAATATTTCAAGGAAAATTAACATGCATAATTTTCTACGTTCGCTCCAGTCAACTAGACTTCTGCAACTTAGCTCCATAGCTATTATCAGATCAAAAATATTGTCTTCAAACCATAGATACTGCTCAATTACCATAAATGGCTCAGTTGGCAGCAAGGATGATGAGGATGCCTACGTTTCCATGCTACGAAAGTGCATTGATGCCTCAAATTTGAGAAATGCAAAGGCAATCCATGCAAAAATCTTCAAAGGGGATATTTGTGGTTCCTCATGGCTCTTTCTGGGCAACCATCTGATCAATGCGTATGCAAAATGTGGTGAAACTTGTGATGCTCTTCAACTGTTTGATGAAATGCCCCAGAAGAATGTGGTTTCTTGGACAGCCCTCATTGCAGGCTTTGAGCAAAAGGGTTTGTCTGCGGAGTCTTTTTCTCTGTTTAAGCAAATGGGTGCGAGTGGAATGAGGGCGAATGAGTTTACCTTGGTCAGTGCTCTCCATGCCTGCAGTGCTGCGGATTTTCTGGGTGTAGTACATGTTTATCAAGTTTATGGTTTGATAATCAGGCTTGGATTCGAGTCTAATGTTCACTTACTGAATGCTTTTTTGGTGGCATTGATGAGGCATCGCAGATTGAGTGAAGCTTTCGAGGTGTTTGAGGAGAGTCATCATAGGGACATTGTCAGTTGGAATACTATAATAGGTGGTTACTTGCGGCTTTCTTGCAGGGAAATTCCAGGCTTTTGGGTTAGAATGATTTCAGAAGGCATAGTTCCGGATGGATTTACCTTTGCCAGTGTACTAACAGGGTTGGCTGAGCTTTTGGATTTTGAAATGGGAGTTCAAGTACATGGGAAGCTTGTGAAGTCTGGTCATGGAAGTGAGATGTGTGTTGGGAATGCCTTGGTTGATATGTACCTAAAAAATCGGAAATTGGTTGAGGGCTTTAAAGCATTTGAGGAGATTCCTTTACTTGATGTGTCCTCTTGGACTCAGATGGCTATAGGTTGTTTAAACTGTGGGGAGCCTAATGTGGCACTTAAGGTCATCGGAGAAATGAGGAGGAAGGGTGTCAAGCCAAATAAGTTTACTCTTGCAACAGCATTCAATGTGTGCGCCAATTTAACGTCTTTGGAGGAGGGTGAAAAAATTCATGGCCTGAGGATTAAACTTGGGCATGACGTGGATGTATGTGTAGAAAATGCTTTACTTGATATGTATGCAAAATGTGGATGCATGAGTAGTGCACTTAAGGTTTTCCAATCAATGGATGAATGGTCAGTTGTCTCATGGACAACTATGGTTATGGGGTTTGCACAGAATGGCTGTGCTAAAGAAGCTCTTGAAATTTTTGACGAGATGAGGCTGAAAAGAGTGGAGCCTAACTGCATTACTTTTATATGTGCACTTTATGCATGTAGCCAAGGAGGATTTGTTAACGAGGGATGGAGTTATTTCTCTTCAATGAGCTCTCAGTATGGTATTGACCCTGGAGAAGATCACTATGCCTGTATGGTAAGCCTTCTTGGCCGATCAGGGTGTATTAAAGAAGCTGAAGAGTTGATCCATGGCATGCCGTTCAAACCAAGTCTGCTGATTTGGCAAACATTGCTTGGTGCTTGTCGGCTTCATGGGGATAATGAAACTGCAAAACGTGCAGCAGAACATGCATTGCATCTTGATAAAACTGATCCTTCAGCTTATGTACTGTTATCTAATACATTTGCCAGTTCAAATAACTGGGACAGTGTTGGAATATTGAGAGAAGTAATGGAAAATCAGGATGTGAAGAAAATGCCTGGGTCCAGTTGGATTGAACTAGACAGAAATGAGTCAGTAACTAAAAGTCATAGGGTATCAATATGAGAAGAAATTGGGAGAAAAGAACATATAGCAGCAGAATGAGATTTCTGTCCATCATCAGCATCAGAATGAAAGTTCTACTCTTCATCTATTTGAAGAATTAAGAGATCAGAGGTTTATTAGGACACTTTCTATATGGTATTACCATATCGAAGGATAAGTGGCAGCAATAGCCTTTTTTCCCAGGTCTCTTTCTCTCTCCCACACAAACAGACACACACACACATGCAAATTTTAACAACTGATATCATGGCTCACTGGCTAATGCATGTGTGTTGCATTGCACTTTGTTCTTTAGCATTGCAATTTTGAAAAGCCAAATGTAGTTCCGCTATGTTTGCAAGTAACAGTCAAGGTTGGTAATTCAGGAGAAAGGAAAGGTACACCATCTACATGTTTGTAAGTGGGGTGGAGGAATAAGTATCAACTATGGTGCATCCATGTCACTAGAAAGTATGAGTTGATTGGAATTGAATGGAGATGACTTGCTGCCTTGAGCTCCTGGAAATCCATATGGAAAGTAGTGATTAATAAGTATGCCATGCCAGGTGCTAAATTTGACATTCTATAATGGTTTGTGGAAACTTGAGGAACTGTTGGGTCACCATTAGGCATCATCTGGTGTAGTCTTGAAGAGTTGTTGTTGTCCAGCATAGTCTCTTGGGTTATTGTCATGCATGAAAATTCTGCCTTTCAATAAGTAGCAATATTTAGGTATTTGGGTCTAGTACTTCAACTCTACTTCTAAATTTGATTACAAGTTGTGTCAATTGGGTGCAAGAGCTTCAGATATCAAACAAACCCTATGTGAGGAATACAACTCCTGAGTTTCTCCATCATTTTGAAGGGCAGTTGGCTTTTAGCCATCTGTTGCAGCTAGGTCATTACCTAAGAATTGCTTCTTGATATTGCTCCAACTGCTAATTTCTTGCCATAGTCACAGGATAAATGAGACCAGATGGACTTTGAGTAAAAATGGTAAAGTGCCAGTACGTGGTGCCTTTGAGAACTTAAGATATATGGCTGGTTTTTTTTTTTTTTTCTATGGCTCACTCTGGTGTCATAGAATTATAGAATTCTCAGATGCTCCTTTATACTCCAGTTGGTTTTCCATGGGCCATGGCAAATGCTTTTCCAAAGAATCTGAGGTTTACCTTCTATTCTTTTGGCATTTGCACTTCTCCTGTGGTTTATGGAAGCATGGGTCAACTTTATTTGGTTGTTAGAGAGCTGAATCATGACGTACCTTGGTGAGTCTTTCTTAAAAGGATACTTTTCTTCACTGTTGGAGAATTTTGCTGCTGCTGCAGCGTATAACTACAGTCAAAGCAATGCGATACAACAAACCTTTTAGGGAGAAACCATAAATATGTGAATCTTGTAGGATCTAAAGCTAATAATTTAATGAGGATTCTAAGGCCCTTGCGGCTTAGGACCAGTGATTAGCTAGAGAATTGGACTCTCCCTTCTGTATAGTTTCTCTTATGTTCTATTCTCTCTTCTCTTGTTTGTGTTCATTGTAGGATTCCCTTTCTGCCAAATTTATTGGATGTTAGTCATTTTTCAATACTGTTTTATTGTTTTATCTACCATAACATGAGGATGTGATTACAGAGGGTTAAAAAGAAAAAGGGAAGAAAAAACTATTGCAGATGTTCCAATCTAGGATTTGTGGTTTATTTTCAGGGTCTTTCTGCCAATATTTTCGTTGTGGTAATCAAGGATTATATTGGTTCTTAGAAAGTTAGTATTTGTATCTTGGATTAGCACAATTATGAAAAAAGCAAGTCTTTAGCTCCTGAATTCGTCATTATGTGGGCAAAGAATCATATGTGGCCTACATATTCTTTATTGCTGATAACAAACAATAACAAGAATGTTATTTCACATGCATTACGAATCCTAGCTGATAGAAAATCTTGTCTTCTTACTAGTACAAGAATACATATATTCTCCTTCTGTCCACCCAATGAGCTCAACATGCAAGCAGAACCACAGATTCAAATTAAGATCAAAGCTTTAATTGTAATTCTCATGAACAGTTACGGCAGACACTTCATTTCAGACAAGACATCTCTAATAAGATGTTCAGAAATATAATGGTATGTTGCTTGTGTTAGATGCACTCCATCCCAATTTATAAACTTTTCTGGGTTATGGCAAGCTTTTACTCCTGGTGACCCACAAACCTTTGTACTATTGAAGTTATACTTCTCGCCAGTTCCACAACATGCTTTGAGCAGTGATCTTTGGTCAAAACCAAGATACCTAGCATTTTGAAGAACATATTCAAAGGCCTTGTAGTAGTCAAAATAACGGATATCAGCATTTGGAAATTCAAGTCTTAGGGATGCTAGAGCTTTCTGAAGATATCTGTTAAAGAGCAAAGCAAACTTGTTGGATTCTGTCAAACAACCATAATCATCATAAGCTTTAGGGTCAGCACTAGAAAATGAAGCCAGAGCTTTAGGCAAGCATCCAGCTGGGAAGTTTCCTGGAACTACTACATGAACAGCCCCAAATTGAATAACTTCTCTTACAGCATTGCATATGGCTTTAACAACAGGTGGCACATACACCCTGCTCTCCTTTAGGGACTTGCCTTGAGAGAAAATACAGTTGAAATCATTCCCACCTATCTCTCCCATCATGATCAGAGCTCTTTTTAACCTTTTCTTGATTTGAGATCGACTATTTGACACTGAACTAAGATGTTTCTTGAACCATTTCACCTGCTGGCTAAGGGGAATGTTTGTTGAGGGTACAGAAATATTTCTTTTAGCAAAAAAAGAATTAACAAGAGCTGTGCTTCCACCTACTGCAAAGTTGACTCCATGACTAAATGAAGCATTTGTTTCCAGGTATGGATGGAGCAGTGGGAGATGAAGAGCTTTCGCAATGAAATCAATCACAAGACGGCCATTGGAGAATCGACCTGTGGGCTTATGGAAGTATGTCATACCATAAGGCAAACTGGAAATGTTGAAAACAGAAGTTACACCAACCTGACGAATCCGGTTACCTGTATCTGCAAGTGAATCACCAAACTGGTAAATGTAATCAAAGCGACATGCGGTTTCTTCGGCAGCAAAAGCCATACAAAACAGGGATAAAGCTACGAGAAATGAGAAATTTGTTGATGAGGACATGGTTGGTAGCATGTTTCTGCAGGAATTTTTTCGCTTAGTCCATCAGTGATGATGGATGTATGTAGATGTATGAAGCACAAAGCACGCAAGGAATTTATAATTGGGAGACTTGACATTAACCACACGTTCCATAAAATATCTTTGTTCCGTATCCACTTGAATTCAATCAAACTTCTGAATGCAATGCTGAGATGATTCAAATGTCGTACAGCTGAGTCCAGACAACCGTAGAATGCGGGAAAATCTAGCAACAGTCCATCCTTTCTCTTCAGTAGTAACTAGGATTATTATTTATCAACATTTGTTCCATTGCTCTCTAATTATTACGTTCCTGGCCATCTGAGCAATCAAAAACCTCCTAAAACAAGTGAATCCCCTCTTCATTTTAGACACTTTTGCGGTCCAAATCATGTTGGGAAGTATTGGAATTGCCGAACCACAGAATGAATATTTGCCAAGGAGATTAATCTGAAATGGCAACGAGATCTGTTGATGCCCATGTTAAATGTAAATATGGTCTACCCCGGAAACTTGGCAGATTTACGAGTCAATTTAAACAGAGAGATGGAGAAAGTCAGAATGAGCATACGCATGATGGCAAGCATTGGGACCATCAGCCGTCGTGATCCCACCAACTTGGAGCCCGACATCAAGCTAAGATGCTACAGATTAAGTTGAGATTTGCTGTCTGTAACATTTTCCACAAGATTACAGATCATGTAGGGAACACTAACAAGAACATGAGACAGTTATTCCAAGCATTTAATTCTAAGGCAAGTGCTAATTAGCAAAAGTACTAGGAAAGTAAGTAATGTTTCAAGTCATCATTTCGTGTAGTATCATTCTAAGCTGTATGTACGTTGTTATACATTGTTATGTCCTCGTTCCAGTAGCTTATCTTTAGAGTACACAAACTAGTAAATCAACAAAGCAGTTTTCTAACCCAATTTAGCACTTAAACTTAATAGATTCAAATATTAATATATTCATACGTGTTTGATAACCAAAAATTAAACATATAATTAATTAAATGGCACTGAATTTTCTAGACAAAACTTGCTCCCAAAAATAAGTAATAAGCTATTCACTTTATCATTAAATATGATATACACTCAAATGTATTTGATTTAATACTTAACAATTCAATAATTTAATGGATTCAGATTTCAAATTTTAGATTTTAGATTTTAGATCTCAGATTTCAATTTTATCAAACGCACCTATGGGAATTCTGATAATGAAAACAAAGTAAAAACATTCATATGTATACCATAGGATCAGTGGTTTAATTAAGTTGTAAAATATATTCTACAAATTTGTATTTTACAGACGATTTTTTTATTTTTTATAATTTTTTCCCTAAACAACCGCATATAGACCTAAGTGCATCAGGTCCAGTCCAATCAAGAAGTGAGTGGGTTTAAGCAAGGCCACCATTGATGTACCCACAGATGCTGCCCCCAAAGGGCTATAAACTATTTAGTCAGGGTTTAAACCCATTACGTACTTGTCACGAACAAAATATATTAGCTAAGCAAAATGCAGAAATGAATAATCTGGATTTTGGTGGTAGAAGAAAGGGAAAGAATTGTGAAGATGAACAAAAAGGACAATAGGGAGAAAGAGAGAAAGATCAGGAAAAGAGAGGGGAATTTGTTATTGAAGATCAGGAAGAAAGATACAAATGCGGTTACAACTTCCCTATCCGTCCCTCCTAATTGACAAGTGATAAGGGTATTTAAAGACCAATCTCAAACGTACACGTGGTCCTTCCACTGACTAACTATCACAATGATCAAAACGCATCCCTTATTACTCCGACACCCTCTTCTTCTAATTCATGACAGTACTCTGGCCGCCTGAAATAGAAGCTACTCCGGGAGTCGGTCAGTTTGATCCCAAAACCGGCGCTGCCAGAATTAATTGTGACATGGGAGGCCTAGGGTTGATGCTGAACTAAATAGCTGACTCGAACTCACAAACTACTCTGTCAATGAATCGATTTGAACTCATTTTGATTGAACTCAAGTTCGAACTCGAACTACTCGAAAGTATTATCAAATCGATTTCGAGCTTAAGGATCAGGTACTTGAGAGTTCCGATTAACTCTATCAAGTATTGCATTAAATAATTAAAAAATAAATATTAAATATGATAATCTATATATTAGACACACATACATACAAAATGAGTAATATAGACTTAGCATTGTTTGAGTTTCGTGTTCAAGTTCGAATCGAGTTTTTGATTTCGATAACACTCAGCATTATTTTTGAACCTTATCGAATTGAATTCAAGTAGCATTCATACCTTTCGACTTCGAGTTCGAGTTCACATTCGAATATGGTATTACCCGAATTCAACTCGACTGAGAGGTTGGTTGGGTAGGGATGTGGCATGAGCCTTAATAGCTCCACTATGTATGTATATAGGCAAATTGCATGCACAATTTGGAGTTAGACGTAAATGATCAAAGTCAGCCTAGTTGTGGTTGTCTAATAATTTAATATTTAATGAGCTTGCTCACCCTTGACTCTTCTGCTACATGTACATCTTATACATGTTGCCTTGGCTCACCCAAATTGAACTACAAACCATTGGCACTAATATTAGATACCATGGCCTTGTTATTTATCTTCCTACTATTCTCCTCTTTTTCTTCTTTGGTATTTTCCACCGATGCCTCTATTATATCACCTTCTAAACAGAACATTACTCTTACGGGGTTTACACAACTCCAGTTACCTGCTAATTCCACAGGATCTCTAACTTTTGACTTGCCGAATTGTCAAGTACACAAGGCTTACTAATTCCTTCCAAAATTTTGCCTATACTTCACCAAACAGGCAAGTTTTATTTGTTTAGTACCTTTTTTTTTTTTTCCCTTTTGGTTGCCAAAAGCAGGTAATATTTAACTTTCAATTGCAAGATGTTATGAATCATTCAAACAGAAATATATATGTTCATGGTTTTTATTGAATATTACACGACATCAAAAGTTGAATTTTTTGTTCATCAAAAAAGCAAAAAGAAGGAAAGAAGGTGATTTAGTTTTTTAGTCTTCACAAGACCATGATTTTTTTGAAAAAAAAAAAAAAAATACAAACGAATTGTGTCCGCACTAGCCAGGATTTCATTCAGGGACTCAGTTCAAACCTGAGACTCAACAGGAAGGGTATTTCAATACGATCAAATAACCAAAAAAGTAACCCTCCTCACGGGGCCTGTGGGAGTGGCGACCGATTTTGATGCCACATTCCTCCTGATCTCGGAGTTCAGTACTGCAATGAGAATTAAAAGGCGTTGGCTGAAAGGAATAAGGGCTGGCACGACTGAAATTCTCCTAATTACATTGCCGGGGTATCCAAACAAGATCAAGAGAAATGAGGAAGTGAAACTTTTGGATTCCGGTTAACGTGCCAAAGAATGACCCTTAACACTCAACCCCTGGCTGTGAAGATAAGTCCTTCTGGAGAAATACTAGCCATGTTAGACCTTAGCAACCAGTACCAACGTCGTCTTAGTGTCGTTTTGGAGCAGAATAGAATGTAAGTTGTAACCCCTGATTCCTGAAATGGAATTTGGAGTACCAGAGAATTCCTGAATGAAAAGTCCAGAGGTTTATTGCCCTCAAAAACTAGAAAAACCAAGGAGTTAAAAAATAAAAATTAAAAAAAATTACAAGATATGTATGGTTAGCTCATTGTTACCCAACCCCTTTTCAAAGAAGTCCAAGCCCTTGTTTTGTAAGGACAAACTTAGCTCAGACCGGTCCTATGGACAGTTCTAATGTTGTAATTGTGCTTTGCATAAACTAATCACTTACATTTATACACTTTCTATTATTAATCTTACCTTTTAAAAACAAATCTAATAGCTGACGCGTATCTTAATGAGTGCTCATTGGGCACCTGTTAAATTGACTCTAAGTATTAAATTACGCTTGTAAATATAATGTCTAATGCACCCTAAAATAATTCAAGGAACAGCTATCTTGATAGTTCAAGATATGGCACTTGGATGAAAAAGAGCTTTAAAAACCGATGATAGTTTAGTTTTCAGGCATCATTATCAGATCACACGCCGTGACAGCGCAAAAAGTGAAGTAATAGTAGTGTTCCTCGTAGCTACATCAAACACTTTTGAGATCAGAATGCACTGAGTCACTAGCATCGTACCACCAATTCTTAATCGTAAAAAAAGTGCACCTCAAAAAGAGGCAAACGCAAAATCCACTGATTGTTAGATCTTTGATAAGGATAAAAAGAAAAAAAACTTAGCAGTTAAGTCTGTCAAACAAGTTCAAAAGATTCTCTCCCACTGCATGCTATAAATATCAAAACACTTGAATACTGGTACTACTACGATACTAAATTATACTAGCTAGTGGGAAAACGAAAAAAATGGCATCCCACAATAGTGGGATGTCTAATCTTGGTGCAGCAGCTGCTGCACTGAGCCAGAGATGCGGGTGCACCGTGACAAGAGTAGCCACCTCCGAAGAACTCATGAATTGCCCGAATTGCGGCGGAGTTGTTGCAGTTGTACAAGAAGAATTTGGAACCCCCCCTTCATCGCCATTAATCAATCCTATTATTTATCCTGATGATTTCTTCATGCGCACGTCTGACTCGGACAGTGATAATGATATCCCCGGCCATCTACTACCGCCGCCGCCGCCGCCCTTTCTTCTGACCCTTGGGGCTAGTTCCAGAAGTAGAAACAGTGACGTCTACACCTACTCTGGTGTGTCTATTGTGGAGGACGAGGACGAGCTGCCGAGTGTAAGGATGACGGAAGGGCTTATGGCTTCGTATAGTTGTTCGCCATGCGCGGTTTGTTTGAACAGTTTTGAGGTGAACGAGGTGGTGAAGAAGATGCCTTGTAATCATGTATTCCATTCGGATTGCCTATTGCCTTGGCTGCAATCGCATACTACTTGCCCCGTTTGTCGTTCTCCGTTGCATCATCGTAGCTGAACGATTAATGCCCAAAATTAATGTAGAACAGTTTTTTTTTTGGGTGATTATTATTGCTATTATTGTTATTGTCATATTTTGTTTTTCGAGAAAGTGCTCTTTGAAAACAGAATGGAAATTCAACAAACACTCTCCTGTTTGTTCACGAAATGAAACAAGGGGAAGTTCA